GTCGAGCCTGGGTGAGGGGATGAGGGCTGTTTGCAGCTGTTCACACACCATTCAGGGTAGGGTTCCCCACTGGGGTGCCTGGCCAGCCTCGGTGAGGGGCTGAGGGCTTTTTTCAGGCTGGGGGTGACTGAACTCCTAAACGCTCCTTTTTTCCTTTCTTTTTTTAATTTTTTTATTCTGGGCCAGCTTTAGCTGTGGCTCCAGCTCTGAGGCCTCTGCTGCTGGGAAAGCGGAAACCCTCGGGCCCAGACTTGTTTGTGTTCTACAATCGAAACTCTGTATCAACTCCAGCTCTGAGATCCCAGCTTCCTGAAAGCTGGTTTCTGGGTTTTTTTTAAGCTTCTATTTGTTACTATAGTTTCTTAAACTGCAGTCTGAGAGGCCTGCAAGGCAGGCAGGGAACGTTGGAGTCCTCCGTCACTGAAGCAAGCAAGCCTCGTGTTAGTTTCAAGCTGCCTGGCTGCCGGCCGCCATCTTGGCTGTCAGTTAATTTGCATATCTCGCTGATTAGCCAATGGGAAGGGTAGCGGTTGTACGCCAATTACCATGTTTCTCTTTTATTAGTGTAGATAATAACAACAAAAGACACTGGTTAACAAATGAGATAGAGCTACATGGCCAGAGAAAATTCTGACCAGATTCATTTTGCATCTGCATTGTTGTCATCAAATGTTTCTCTCTCTTTTTTTCATCTTCCTAACGAGGCTAACGAGAGTAATGACCAAATCTTACCACTTTTTTTTTTAACTTCCTAATGACTCACATGTAATACACAGGAAATAACTATTATTGTTTTAGAACTACAATTGGAAGGAGGCCTGGCCTACTAAGACAGTCGTAAAATCTCCTTTCATTTAGAGACTTTTGAGGCAGAAACCAATGGCTACTATTTTATACCTCAGTTCAGTCCAAACATCTGATCATCTATGGGAAATGAGGCCCTAAGGATTCAAAAATAGAGTATGATCTTTTCTCTAAGGGAGAAAGGGAGAAATTAGCAAAGAGGATCGATGGTTAATTCTATTCCTGCCCAATGATCTCATAAGAAACACGTTTCTACATTTTTGCCCAACTCTATCACCTGGGCACATGATTAGATGACAGGACATAGCTGAGGCATCTTGTTTCTTCACCTGCACATCTGGGGAGGCAAGAGGGAAAGGAAAAAGCCAGAATGGAATCTTGAATTAAATTTTTAAGTCAAGAGTTGACAGTGATACCTATATTGAATGTAAAAAGAAAATAGATTCTTATTTAGTTTGGTACCCTTATTTGTCATGATTGTTTATTCAAATATCCTAGAAACACCAACATTCAACTCAATGTCATCCTACTTGTTCTCACGCTATATATTATAAAACCTTACTATATCATTTACCTAATTGATAAAAATAAAAGGCTAAACAAATTTATTAATGTTTGTTTTAGAACTCAAAAATGAATAATTCTAAATTGATGCCAATGCTCATTAAGATAATCTGAAATAGAGATTGTTAATTCTTAAATTTTATATTTGAAAACATGTAAAATGAGCTACCTCAGAAATAATTCACACCAAATCACAGAAATCTTGGGAAAGAACAACAAAGTCAGAGGTATCATGCTACCTGATATTTGAAACTATACTACCAGGCTCTAGAATCAAAACAGTATGATACTGGCATAAAAACAGACACACAGATCAATGGAATAGAACAGAGACTCAAAAATAAACCCACACCTATATGGTCAATTAATATTTGACAAAGGAGGCAAGAACATACAATGGGATAAAGACAGTCTCTATTCAATAAACAGTGTTGAGAAAATTGGACAAGCACATGCAAAAATTAAACTAGACCACTTCTAACAACATATATAAGAATAAACTCAAAATGGATGAAAGACTTAAATAAATATAAGACTCTGGAGTCATAAAACTCCTAGAAGGAAGCACAGGCAGTAAAATCTCTGACATTTCTCTTAGCAATATTTTTCTGACATATCTCTTTGAGCAAGGGAAACAAAAGAAAAAACAAATGAAACTACATCAAACTAAAAAAAAGTGCACAGCAAAGAATACCGTCAACAAAACCAAAAGACAGCCTATTGAATGGGAGAACATATTCGCCAATGACACATCTGAAAAGAGGTTAATATCCAAAATCTATAAAGGACTCATACAAACAAACACCAAAAAACATCAAACAATCCAATTAAAAAATGGGTAGAGATCCTGAATAGACACTTCTTCAAAGAGGACAGGCAGATGGCCAACAGATATATGAAAAGATGCTCAACATCACTAATCATCAGAGAAATGCAAATTAAAACCACAATGAGGTATTACTTCTTACCTGTCAGAATGGCTATCATCCATAAATCAACAAACAAGTGTTGGTGAGGATGTGAAAAAAGGGAACCCTCATGCACTGTTACCGGTGGGAATGCAGACTGGTGCAGCCACTATGTAAACAGTATGGAGGTTCCTCAAAAAATTAAAAATCAAGCTACCTGATGACGCAGCGATCCCACTTCTGGGTATATATCTAAAGAAACCCAAAACACTAATTTGAAAGAATATGTGCACCCCTAATGTTCACTGCAGTGTTATTTATAACTAGTAGCCCAGGGCATGAAATTCGTGCACTGGGGTGGTGGGTGGCGGGGGGGGAAGGGCCCCTCAGTCTGGCCTTCACCTCTCCAATCTGAGATCCCTCAGGGAATGTCCAACTACCTGTTTGTGCCCACACTTTTAACAGATAACAGCTCCATTGTTGTTTCTTTCTTATGCTTAACACATTGTATGTGGGAAATGTATTTATACATTTTACGTATTTATACGTTCTGTATTAATATGTTTTTTATAGACTAGCGGTAGAATGCGGGTAACGTATAAATACGTTTATTTTTATTGCTCTAAAGGGTTGCTAACATATGCTAACATGCTGATATACGAATTCCAAAGGACAAAATTTGGGTCTGTAACACATACAATGGTGAATTATGTATGTACTGATCTTGAATTCTGACCGAAGGCACCTCAGTGAGGGCCACCCGCGCCCACCAGGTGTGTCTGTCTGCATCTGCTTCCGCCTCAGACCTGCATTAACCCCCTAGAGATGATCTCATAGCTGCACCGGCCTCTGTGGGAACAGGGCATCACCACTCCGCCCTCTCACTGTCATCTCACAGGCGTCCACCCTCAGTACCCAGAACACCCACTCTCCAAAGGACGTGAGCGCATCAGAGGGGATGTGTGTACATCCTGTGGGGGTGTTAGGCATGCTGGGTTGATGGAAGTGCAGTAGAGAGGCGGGGGGGAACTTGTGCACACCTTGGTTTGCAACTGTTGCAGGCGCGGGAGGGTGACAGTGTGCTGGGGGATGTTTGCACGACAGGGGGGGATGTGCACACTGGAGGCCTCTGGCTTTGCAGATGTGCAAACCCCCGTGGTGCGGCCAGTCTGGACGTCAGTCTGGCCCACCACGGTGACTGTCCCTGCGATCCTACACCTTCTGGGCCAGGAGGCGGATCTTGCGCAGCCACTCCTGGGCGCTGATGGCCTGCAGGCACTACTTCAGCTCAGCCTGCAGGCTCCACTTGGCGCACTCACAGCTGTCACCACTGCCATGTGGGGAGTACAGGCCGCTCTCTACAGGCCTGCCTCCCCTGTCCAGAGGCTCTCTGTGCTGCTCACCTGCTCAGAGTGACTGCCTCCCCGCCCCACCCCCAGCCGATCTGCCCCTGTGCGAGCTGCCGCCCCGCCAGGAAGGGTCACGGATCCAGGTCCCGGGACTGCGGACAGCCTCAAGCACTGCCCCCCTCCTGGCAGGGTCACAGATCCGTGTCTTGGTCCCACGGACAGCCTCAAGCACTGCCCCCCGCCTGGCAGGGTCACAGATCCGGGTCCTGGGACTGCAGACAGCCTCAAGCACTGCCCCCCGCCTGGCAGGGTCACAGAACCGGTCCCGGACCCAAGACAGCCTTGCCCGCTGTCGCCCGCCTTCAGTATACAAATTAGCCACCATCTTGTTGCTTCAGGGCAGGGCTTCCTACTGGGGTAGTGAAACACTGTTGCAGCTCCAGCTCTGAGGCCCAGCTGGCTGAAAGCAGGTTTCTGGGGTTTGTGTAGCTTCTATAATTGCAACATTGTTTCTTAGAGTGCAAGCTCAGAGGCTGGCAGTGGCAGGCAGTGAACCTTGGCTTCCTCCATCACTGGAGCAAGCAAGCCTCCTGTTCACTTCAGCTTCGTGGCTGCTGGGCGCCATCTTGGTTGGCATTTAATTTGCATATCGCCCTGATTAGCCAATGGGAAGCGTGTTGGAGCTACGGTTAATTACCATGTTTGTCTATTATTAGCTAGGATAGCCAAAATATGGAAGCAACCTAAGTGCCCTCAATAGATGAGTAGATAAAAAAAGCTGCCATACACATATACAATAGAATATTACTCAGCTGTAAGAAAGAATAAAATCTTATGATTTGCGACAGTCTAGATCAGGGGTGGGCAAACTTTTTGACCCGAGGGCCACAATGGGTTCTTAAACTGGACCGGAGGGCCGGAACAAAAGCATGGATGGAATGTTTGTGTGAACTAATATAAATTCAAAGTAAACATCATTACATAAAAGGGTATGGTCTTTTTTTTTTTTTTTAGTTTTATTCATTTCAAACGGGCCGGATCCGGCCCACAGGCCGTAGTTTGCCCACGGCTGGTCTAGATGGGTCTAGAAGGTATTATGTTAAGTGAAGTATAAAAAGCTATGGAATATTCGATAGAGGATGATTGCCAGAGGCCTATGGCAGAACTACCTTATTATGGCAATTAAAATTTTTGTACCAAAAATTGTAGTGTGTTTAACTTAATTTATTCATCAATTGAATATTACTCAGCCATAAAAAAGAATGAGATCTTACCATCTGTGATAGCGTGGATGAACCTAAAGGGTAGAATACTAAGTGAAGTCAGTCAATCTGAGAAATATAAGTACCATATGATGTCACTTATATATGAAATCAAAAGGAAAAAATAAAATATAGAGACTCAAAGATACAGAGAATTGACTGATGATTGCCAGAGGAGATGGGAGTTGGGGTACTGGGTGAAAATGGTGAAGGATTTAAGAAGTGCAAATTGGTAGCTACAAAATAGTCATGGTGATGTAAAGTACAGCATAGGGAATATAGTTAATAATATTGTAATAACTATTAACAGTGCCAGATGAGTACTTGAAATATCAGGGGACCACTTTGTAAAATATATGATCATCTAATCACTATGCTGTGCATGTAAAGCTAATACAAAATAATACTGAATATAAACTGTAATTGAAGAATAAAATAAAATAAAATTCACATCATGAACTATTAAAATTACCTGATTCAGGTCACAATAAGTCCTTAGAGAAGGTGCTGACTTTAACTCTCTTGCTATCTTCATAGCTGCATTCAAATCATTTTTTTTCTCTTCAATGCAGTTTTTAGCCATTATTACGTTTGATAAATAATCATTTGTTTTTCTTGCTACTTCTTCACACAAGTTCTTTTTCCTTCGTGTAAGATCCCAAAGTTACTTGCACAATTCACAAACATTTATATGAACATGAGTTATAGTAACTAAATAGTATTATAGAGTAATTTTACTAATTTATGAACTTAACATGGTTAAATAAGGCATTAAATTGAACTGAAATGTATTACAGTTGAAAGCTATGTATGTATAACTAGAGAAAAAGTAAATTTTGTAGGTTATAGTTAGATGGCAAATACAGCTGTCACAGAATTACAAGGTTAAGACAGACTCATGATTCCCCTTAAAATAGAAATCCTTGCTGTCTTGCAGTCACTGGTGCCAGTGCAAAGACACATTTATGTTCATTTCTCAGTAGGATCTACATGCACAATTTAAAATTTCCTTCGGTAGACACATACAATATTTTAAAATAGGTTTCACCAAACCATAACTGAGGTATCAATTAACTATAATCTTCAAAGTAATCACTTAGTAAGGTTATATATTTATTATTTCGTTACTTGTACCTCAGTCAAAATATTTTCTGGGCCTATGGTAGAACTACCTTATTATGGCAATTAAAATTTTTGTACCAAGAACTGTAGTGTTTAACTTATTCATTTTATTCATCAAACAAATATATTTTGATTATTTTCTCAAAACCAAATCTGGCCTCAGAAAAGGATAGTTTGCCACACTGAAGAGTAACAGGAATGTAATATAGATTCTGAAGGTAAAGAGGCATTACAAAAACCTTTAGTAATTTTATATATAGTATTTGAAATTGATGTCTTTAGGGGGAAAATTGACATTTAACAAGTTTAGTACGGTTCCTAAAAATTCATGCTTATGTAGTGATGTCAGCAAAGTGGCAGATTAGGAAACTTTAAGCCCTCGTTCCCCAACAGAGATGTCAAAAAGCATGCAAAAATTAGTAAAATAAATTTACAGGAATTCTGGAAAACAAATAAAGGTATACAGCAACAAAGCAAATGCCCAATTAACAAAAAGTCACTCAAAACAGTAGGACATGTCATGGTGTTTTTACTTGTCCTTGTCCAGCCCCCTCTTCAGCTATGCTCTTGGTCTGAAGGCAGCAGTACAGTTCGCAATTCCTTCCCTCAAACAAGAGGGAGCAAAGCAGACTTTATTTGCAATTTTCTAATATGTCTGGGGACTACCAGAAGAACTAGTCTGTTTTACCTAACTTGGAGCTCAGGCAATGAGAAGCAGTGGGTCCCCTGCAGGAGGACTATAGCTGTAGATGCCTGGGCAAGAGATTACAGGAAAAGAGATACAATAGACTATCTGAGGTTCAGAGAAGTTGACTCCTTGGGAAATTTAGACATTTAAAAGCAACCATGTGGGGGGGGGGGAGTGGGACAATATGTAATACTTTCAATAATAAAGATTTTTTAAAAGCAGCTATGTATGCAGAAGGATAATAAAAAGTCACACTCAGACCCAGGCAAGAGTTCTCAGAAAATACCTGAGACTTTTATAAACCATCATCTCATGCTAATCCCAAGGGTACTCAATGAAGGGCAGGCCCAGCAAAGAGCCAGTTTGCAATAATTGGGAGAGGTGACTGTGCCAAATTTTCAAAAGAAAACCACAAGGCATGCAAGGTAATCAGGAAAGCAATGAAGGATCAAAATGTGAATATCAATAGAGATAGAAATTACAAAGAGGAACCAAACATAAAATCTGGCACTTAAAATTACAATAATTGAAATGAAAAATTGACTACAAGAGTTCAACTACAGATTTAACCAGGAATAAGAATCAGTAAATATGAAGATAAGGCAACTGAAATTATCAAGTTTGAGAAGCAGAAAGAAAAATGAATGAAGAGAAGTAAACAGAGTCTAAGGGACCTTCAGGGACACCTTTCAAGATGACCAACATATACGTTATGGAAGTCCCAAAAGGAGAAAAGAGAAATGGGTACAGAGAGATTATTTAAAGAAATAATTGCTTAAAAGCTTCCAAAATTAGATAAAATACATGAATTTAGAAATCCAAGAATTCAAAGAAATTTAAGCAGAATAAACCCAGAAGACCCCACACTGAGACACAGTGTAATTCAACTGCTGTAAGACAAATAGAGAATCTTGACAGCAGCCATAGAAATGCAAATTGTCCTGTACAAGAGATCCTCATTAAGATCATAAGCTGATTTCTAAGCAGAAACCTTGGAAGTCAGAAGACAGTGGGATGCTGGAGACCAAGATCAACGGTAATTGATATAAATGTGAGGAGTCTGGCAGAAGGCTGACCAGGACTCCTTTTGATATTCACAGGGTGAATATCTACATTTTATTACCTGCTGCTGACTCAGTGGCCTAAAGCAAACTCCCCCAAAACCTGACAATCTTACTGTTAACTAAACATTACCATTGATATGTCTGTTTGCATTCCTAAAGGTAATTGTGTATTCTAGCAAATAAAAGCAGCTGGGAACGGAGCAACAGGAGAGAACTTGACTGCTATGGTTGTGGTTGAGCCCCCCCCCCCCCCCCTATCCTATATAATGAAGAGCTAATATGCTAATTAGACCGAACAGCAGAACAACCATCCAGATGACCTTCCAGATGAAGCTGGGGCTGCGAGGGCTGGCCGGGGCAGGTGGGGCTGCGAGAGCAAGCCCCTTGCACGAATTTCGTGCACCAGGCCTCTAGTTAAAAATAATATTTCGTCTTGTGTATCATTTGTGCGTCAGCTCTTCCTCCAAGCCTTTGAACCCGTGAAAGCCACGCTGGTCGTGGACTCTTGCAGTGGGATGACATATTAAGTTGAAAGGAAAAAACTGCCAACTGAGAATTCTATAGCTGGCAAAGTTATACTTCAAAAATTTGAGGGAGTAATTAAAATATTCCCAGGTAAACAAAAACTAACAGCAGTCATTACCAATATACCTGTTGTATGAGAAATGTTAAAGAAAGCTTTCAGGTTAAAATTAAAGGAGGCTAAATAATAACTTGAAGCCATACAAAAAAGAAACATCTCAGGTAAAGGTAAATACATGGGCTATAATCAATGCTGGATTTACCCAACAGCTATGCTAAGAATATGCTTACAACACCAGCAGAGTGAATACACCAAAGTCTTTTTTTAAAAGATGTGACATTTCAAATTTTGTTGAAACTTCACTGAAATAAACATCATTGAAAGATTTTTTAAAAATACATAATTAAAAGTGAAAGGAAAAAAAAAGATATTCCACAAATATAGCAAATAAAGGTAAGTTAGGGTGGCATACTGATATCAGGCAAAAGAGACTTTAGGCAAAAAATTGTTACAAGAAACAAAGAAAATGTTTATTATACTGTCAAAAGAGTCAATTCACCAGGAAGATATAACAATTATAACACATGTATGCACCAAATATAAGAACTCCAAACTATATGGGGGAAAAAAAGAGACAGAATTAAAGGAAGAAATAGAGAGCTCTACAATCATGGGTGAGACTTCAATATTCTACTTCCAATAATAGAAAGAAAAACCATACAGAATATCAATAAGGATATAGACTATTCACACAACATTACAAACCAATTAGACCTAACAGATATATAGAGAACACTGTACCCAACAGAGAGTACAAAATGAGATAAGTGAAAACAAAAAAAACCCAAAATATAAAAATTTATGGGATGCACTAAAAGCAGAACTAAAGGGAAAATATATACTGTAAATATATTTAAAAAGAGATGGCAAACCAATAACCTAGCTTTACACCTTAGGAAACAGAAAGAGAACGAATTCCAAAGCTAGCAGAAGGAAGGACTAATAAAGATTAGAGTAGAGATAAGGAAATAGAGAATGGGGGGTTGTCAATTATTAGATAGGATATTCTATTGGTCTGGTGCACAAAAATTCGTGAGAAAATCCATTATTCATTTGGTGACACGAATAAATATGAGGTCTCCACTTGCATTTTTTAAGCCCACGTGTATGTTTGTTTATATGATTCCTAATGCTGGTCCACACTGGGAACGGGCGGCATCAAGCTTATCCACTTAGCGCAGTTGTCGGCAAACCGCGGCTCGCGAGCCACATATGGCTCTTTGGCCCCTTGAATGTGGCTCTTCCACAAAATACAGTGCAAAGTTGACTTAAAACTTGAAGTAAAGTTTATTAAGTTAATTTTAGGGAACATTGTGGAGTGAAAGAAGATGTAGTGTCGAGGATTAAGAAGGTATGTTGAGATGGTTAGGACATATAGAGAGGATGAACGAAAGGAGATAGATGAAACAAGTATACAAGACGAGTGTGGATGGGAGAGTTGGAAGGGGTCGACCTCAGCGAACGTACCTCAGAACAATGTACCTCTCCTGCGTGGGTATCCCGCGGCCCGTCTACGCAGCGTCTCCCTGTCGCCCCACCGAACGACACCCCCCCTTCTAATGCCACTTCTTCAAAATAGACTCGCCCAGGCCGAAAACCAACTTCTGCGCATGGGGCACAAAGTTTC